ATGGAAACAGTTTTTGCTAAAGTAGCTTGATAAATCACACATATCAATCTTCGTTTCACGGAAATTGTACTTTTACATCACTTTGAGTTTAGTTTGAAAGCAGACTGCTGATTTTAAAAGCCAATGTGGGCAAAGAAGTGCGTATTTAGGGGAAATTGCGATCTGCAGTGCCAAAACAAAACATTCTCGCTGCTAACGTTAGCTTCAGTTCTCGACTAAGCTAACTATAACCTGTAAATTATCGTACTGCACATTATTCTGCGATAACACTCACTAGTTCAGATACTTTATTTAAAGTTTGGACCACACATCAGCAGAATGCACCGAAGAGGAGTTGGTGCGGGAGCCATCGCCAAAAAGAAGCTCGCAGAGGTACAGTTACAGTTATTAACCATTTTGTCTATTCCCATTAACTTGATTTACTAAGACAAGCATTTAAATAACTCACCTGTAATGCATGTTTCTATTCAGGCCAAATATAAAGAAAGAGGAAATGTTCTGGCTGAGGACCAAATTGTCCAGGTGAGTTGTGTCAACAGAATGTAATTTTGAGTGATTGTAAAAGCTGCACTTCCTTACTTGAGTGTATTCCTTTTATGCTACTTTAAACTCCTACTCCACTACATTCATTTGATATTGCTAACTAGTTACAATGCAGTTTCATACTATCAATGCAAATATAACGAAGTATGCAGTATCAGTCTACATTTAAGCTACCTAGGAGTGTATGAAGTAGTTGAAATGAGCTCCACCATCACCAACTGTAATGTGAAAGTTATGGACACAATAAAGCATCAGTTGTAATAATCGACTTATAGTGTATATGCTATTCTGTAATGAACCATTCTTCATAATGTGTACTTTGAATTGCACATGTTGATGCAGATACTTTAAAACGTTACACAAGTAAGGTCATTTAGTTGAAACAGATAACATTTTTAAAGTGAGCTATTGAGTACTTCTTCCACCACTGGATAATTGTTCTATATCCTTATTTTGTACATCTGAAAAATAACCATTATTGGTTACTAGCTGCTGGCCCTTAACACATAAAACTAGATGTTTAAGTTGCTTTAGAAAAACAAAACATACTTGCCTGTATGTTGAGAATATTCCTAAATTAAAAATAACATTGTGTGCTTCCTTAAACGATCAATCAAACGTTTTATGAAATCACATGCTTCCAGTTACAATCTAAACCTGCCATTTATTAATTTTGAATGCAGTTTTGTTTATTTGTATTTCCTTGTTCTGCATTTACTCACCTGTTTTTGTCTTCTAGATGTCAAAGCAGCTGGAGACCTTTAAGTCCAACCTGGAGGAGTTTGCCAGCAAGCACAAACAAGAAATCCGAAAGAACCCACAGTTCAGGGTTCAGTTTCAGGAGATGTGTGCCACCATTGGAGTCGACCCACTTGCCTGTGAGAAAAATGTGTCATTTATTCTTTGAAAATACAAGAGCCTGGTTAAATGTATTTTAATCCTATGTTATACATTTGTACATCTTTTCCCTATTTTTCTGACAGCTGGCAAAGGTTTTTGGTCTGAGATGCTCGGCGTAGGTGACTTCTATTATGAGCTCGGTGTACAGATTGTTGAAGTGTGCCTGGCCCTGAAACACAGAAATGGAGGTTTGTAATTTGGAACTAAGTAGTAATCATTTTTGTTTGACTGGTAACAAAGAGGAGACACACATTTCTTCAAAAAAAACAGTGTCTAAATGTCAACACATATATTATATACAGCGAATCCAGTATAGTAGAGATAATGTGATTTATTATCTCTCTGGCTTTTATATGTTAATTTAAAAAAGAAAAGTATTAAGCCATTGAATCCCCTCTATATGCATTACATTAATGCACACAATGTTCAAATACTGCTTACTGCACATATTCTTATTTCATATTTTATATTCTATAACTCATTGCATTCCATTTAGCTGTAAATTACTGCTTTATTTTATAGCTATTTAACTATATTTTATTACAGTGTACAGTGTTTTATATGGAGATTCTTTGTTTTATATTTTATGTATGCACCACGACATCAAGTCAAATTCCTCATATGTGTGAACCTACCTGGCAATAAACCCGTTTCTGATTCTGATTTTATATAAAATAATTGTAAAATGATATTTGTTTATTTACAGCTTTACACGGGTGATATGCAAAAAACAGGATTGTATTTTGAGATTGGAGCAGTATCAAAAATAAGCAAATACAAAAAAAAAGTTAATAAAAACGATTTATATAAGGCGGTCCAGAAACATTGATTTTGTTGACATTTCCATTTCCTTTTAGGGCTTATTACTTTGGATGAACTCCATCAGAGAGTACTGAAAGGAAGAGGTAAATACGCCCAGGATGTGAGCCAGTAAGTGTCACTCGTTAAATATTTAGTTAGGGAAACTCAAGACATCTTATGCCCGTCCTAAATTGTATGATTAATACAATTAAACATTTGCCACTCAGAGATGACTTGATGAGGGCCATAAAGAAACTGAAGGTGATGGGGAACGGCTTCGGGATGATTCCTGTTGGAGGATCTTATTTGGTCCAGTCGGTCCCAGCAGAGCTCAACATGGACCACACTGTCGTCCTGCAGCTGGCCGAGGTAAGGCAAAGATCCTGGGTTAAAAATAACAGTTGATATAACTTCCTTTCTACAACAAATTGAAATAGCCTTTGCTTTAACTGTTACTTTATCACTTCAGTAAAAAAGTCACATTTTTGGTAAAAGTCCAAAATCCAACAAGTTCAAATTGAATGCTTTGTCAATAACATTAAGACTGCAGCAACACTGGGAGAAATAAACAGAGAAATATGAAATGCGCATCTTGTTCTGCCTTCCAAGAGCACTGTCAAATCTTTGTAATTTAAGCATCCTCTCTTATACTCACAGATCATAAAGATATGAGAGTTTTCTCACGTCAGATCAGTTTATAAAACTGTGTTTTCCTCGCCATGTTGTGGGGAATAAGAGGGTCAAAAGAAAGGAACTGCTAAACAAGTTTTAAAGTCTACCACTTGATGTCACTATTTGCCAATCCACCACTGTTCTCCACCTGTATGGAGATCCAGATTTTGTGAATTGTGACTTAAAGGTGGGGTAGGTAAGTTTGAGAAACCGGCTCGAGATACACTTTTTGTTATATTCCATGGAATGCTCTTAACATCCAGATAGCAATGAATATCTTAAGTGCTTTGACAAAAAATCCATAAAAAAATGTCATCTGTGGAAGCCGTAGTACTGTAAAAAGCACGACCAATCATTTTAGCCGGCCCGGCTAAAGTAACTGGATGGCCTACCTGCCTGTCAGCCTTCCATCTGTGCACAAACTTATCTCGTGCCCTCATTGGTCATGTGCACGTTCGTGTGTGTTGGAGGAGGGGCTCTGTAAGGAAGTGGCAGATTTTTTCCGGCTGTGTATTTTCAAATTCTAGCGCACTCGAGCTGGTTTCTCCAAAATTACCTACCCCACCGTTAAGGGTCTTAATAGCTCTAAGTTTGATTGAATTCATTAATAAAGTGCAAGAAAGTTTTACATCCAACATATTTATTTTAACATTTATATTGAGTTTTAAAAAAGTAAATGTTTTTAGTAAGTTTGCAATCGGAACTGAACATTCTTGTTTATATGCAATGAAAAAGTAAATGGGGGGGGAAAAAACTTTTTTCTAGTCCACTGAAAACATACTAATCGATATTCAGTTTGGATCTTTCTACCACAAGATTTATTTAAATTCTACATTATAGCTTGACAGATCCTTAAGCTTGTTATTAAATATTTATCACTTTTTTCTAAGGCTTTCTTTCAATGTTAAAGAAGGAAGGAAATAAAACATCTAGATGAGGGGACAGTAACGTAAATTAGTATGTTCCTAATATTTGTATTAGAGGACTTATGGTGGAAATACAATGGCGAGGTAATAAAAACATAGCATAATTGTCTGGGCTTTCCCCTCCTTCTCATGCATCAGGTGCCAAATACAACATGGGCTTCTCAGCTCTACCAGGAATGGTGCTGCCTTGTTTGAATAAAGCATGTAGATAAACAAACCACTATGTAGCCAACAACGTTAGAGACTTTTTGTGATGAATCTTTTCTTATCTTTTTTCATTTGTAGAAAAAGGGCTACGTCACAGTGAGTGAAATCAAGGAAAGTCTAAAATGGGAGAAGGAACGGGCTTGTCACGTTCTGGTGAGTGCACATCAATGTATTTCAGGGAGCTGTATGACAATAAGACTCTCACTCCTGTGTTGAAAAAAGTTATTCAGAAAATGCCCTTTCTCTTGCATGCAGTAGATTTGACTCTTAGTTAAAAAGATGTTTGTATCTGTGTGTTAGTGCTTCTTCTTTGCCAGGTGTGGCACAGTTAGATGCTACATTACACAGCATGATTAACAGGTGTGCCTAAGGCTGGTCACAGTTAAAGCCCTCTATATAATGTGCTGTTATATCTTTAAATAAAGACTATGATCTTTTATTTAAAACTCGTGAAAACATTGTAAAACTAAAGTGTGCATCTTGTGTTTTTCACTGGAACACTATTGACCTCCACTCTTTATATTTCCAGGATCACCTGCTGAAGGAAGGCTTAGCCTGGTTGGACTCTCAGGCCTCTGGAGAAGCTCAGTACTGGCTGCCAGCTCTCTTCTCCGAAATCATCTCCCGTGATGTCACGCCAGAGGAGGCCAATCAGATGACGCCTTGAGAAATGACCGCCAGCTGGTGGACAGCTTCAGAGACATGTTGTTAAACAAAATGTGCCTGGTGGGGGAGGCTCATGTGATGAAGTTGGCTGGGTGAAGATCAATTTCTGGACAAGAGGGGGGCTCTTTAACTTCTATGCAACGAATGCATTCACTTTATAAGACACTGCTGCATTTAAACTTCAGTGTTGCTGGTGTCACGCTTTATGGACGGTTACGGATCAATGTGCAGAACATGTCATTGTTTCTTGGGTTTGTATAAAGAACAACTTTTAAAAACCAGATGCATTTTTTCCATTTGTTTTTTATTACGTCAGCAGAATATTCAAATGCACTTTATTAAATTGAATTGATCCTTCAAAACATTCACATCGCTCAACCTCATTCTGTCATATACACGCTTAAAATCAAATCAACAGAAGGTGAATACAATGTTTCAATCAGCACGATCCGGTTATACTAGATCAACAATTTTCTCTTAAAGATAAGTGCAAAGCTATACTGTAAATATAGAATTGTGGTGAATACATATATGAAGTTTAAAATGACATTTTAATGATTTATTCAACCCAATGGAACAGTCTATTGTTTAAGCATGTTTTTGCCTTTTTTACAGAAAGTCTTGTATACCTTACTGCTGTTTATTTGACAAAGCATACCATGGGTTTAAAAAAATGGAAATAATGGTTGTCATTTATTTTAGTACAATATATGAAAATCACCTCTCAAAGGTTTGAAAGTCCTTCAATTGTCTACTTTAATGTTTATACCTTTTTATTATGGAGGTTTGTAAGGGCTGGGTTCCGAACATCAGTTATTTTTCATCTCCCTATGTCCAAAACATCATAGTGATCATAACATTTATTTCTTCTATGATGGAAAAGTTATGGATTTAAAATCATACATTTTCAGATTTAATCCAAAAATGAAGGGTCAATTTTACAATAGCATATTAGGGACTTTATATTATATATAAATTATAATTTCAGAGTAATATATGAAGCAAAAAACACCTAAGATATGATTCAAAGTAAAAAAAAAAGTAATATTATCGGAGATAAAAGAAAAGTATATTCATGAGAATAAAGTAAAGATAAATATATTTTGAAATTTAAAGTCACAAATCTTAGAGAAAAATACTCGCCAGTGTTAAGACTTTTGTTTAGGCAAAACATGTCTGATTTATGCTTAGACAGCATTCAATATTTAAGAACTTTGGGATTCCGGTATTAATAGACGAAAACCAGTTATCAAAACATTTCAAATGTTGCCCAGTTCTGGAGAAGTGTACTTTTATGTGCATTAACATTTGCCCAAAATAAATGAGGACATGATGGATTACATGCTGTAAATCAGGTAGGATTCATGTCTTTAACAGCTGCTTATATCTGCATGATGGACAGTAACGAATGGAAAGAACCCTTCAGAAAGCGTAAGTATGCTTTGATAAATGATCTATAGTAAAGTTGATAAACAGGAAATGTGTGCAAAAAATATCAACATGGTCCTTTTACACATGACCACCCATCTTGTTAGAGGTTTGCTTTCTCCAGCCGTTTCTCACAGCTCGTGGCCGTAGACGTGATCTTCGTACAGCGCCTGCTCCATGTTGTCACAGATCAACGTGCAGTAGGGACAAAATCGGTGACTCTGCTCGTGCTGCTCCAGTTCGTGTTGGGTTATGCCGGGGAAGCTCTCCTGGCAGTGACGACACACCAGCACCTGCTGAAATAGAGACGGTAACAAAATACGGAGCGGATTACGTGTAAAGGCCTCCTTAAAAAATAAACGGTAAACAGCCAAGGCACACTCAAGCTCAAGTGTTAGATCCAGAGCTCCGTCAGGGAGGGAGGATTTCTCTTTTAGTGTGTGTTTTGATGGGTTGACGGTTGCCTAAGTTTGTTTCAATACTAGAAATGACAAAAGTGTACTAGGGCCATTGTAGGAAAATGATATGTTATCTGACTCGCATATGAACGGACATTGTGGTTTTGTCAATGAACCACATTGCCTTACCTTGAAAAATTGGACATTTTATGAATCTCAGAGAATAATCAAGTTATTTTTTCTCCCAGCTGCTTTATTTATTTTACCTACAATGGCCCTAATACATTTAATGTACGAAATTTAGGTTGTATAAAACGGACTGTTAACTAGCTGGTACTTCTATAGGTTTCCATTTAGTACCATTTGTTCATAGTGTCAGAGAAATATGTAGAGGGATGTTTAGCAAATACTGATATGAAAAATAAGAGCTAGAAAATATAAATAGAAGAACAGCTGCCACATGTTGTGGATATGAATCATTTGAGTGATGGGACAGGTGAGGTTGTGGCTTCCTTCCTTCCCTAATGATGTACTAATATTATTTAACTTACCTCTTGCTCTGTGTCTTCAGCACTTCCTGTGTATGCATTTTCTGGAAAATATATTGGGAAATGGTTAGTAGATATAACAACTTTAACAACAAGGTTATGTTTTTTATGGTTTATCTTACAAATGAAATGTCTGACAAATGAATAACGTGAGCACATAGACATTTTTATAAATCTGCCCGATGTTAATACATGTTAATGCTAACGATAAATAACAATACATATTATGATTTTGAATGATAAAAAATGTATATGTTTGTGTCTTGTATCTTATGGGTTTACAAGACAGTGGAAGTGGTCAACATTTAATTCATCACAAAATAACTAAATATTTTACAGCTGAATCTTATACTAAATATTTTGAATTCCTTCCCAAGCTTTGCAAATAGATTCTGCTTCCATAAAAGATTCCTTCCCTGAAGCACAACTTAAAGGGGACCCAGTTGTGCTTTTTGGGGTATTCTTTTCCTGTAGTGTGTTATATAGGTTTTTGTGCATGTAAATGGTCTGCAAAGGCTAAAATCCCAAAGTTCCCTCCAGAGGGAGTTTCTCCCCCCTGAAACGCCTCCATTTGACTCCTTTGTTTACTTCAGTATATGGACATCACTATGTAACACTCCAATTTCTATTGGCTAGTGCTCCAACACATTTCACGTGATAGGCTAAAGGGCGGGACATCTCAAGCGATTGACCAATCACAAAACCGGCCAGCTAACAGCTAAGGCCTAGGCTCCACGGGAACGAAAACGGGTTGAATCCGCATATTTCTCTTGCGTATAGTCCTTTTTGCTACACGACGCCGTAACGTAACGCTAGAAACGGACCCAAACGACAACGGGTCCAAAGGTGGATAGATCTGGGAATGGAGCGCTCTGGGGGGTCCAACGGGTCCGTGTGGTAGCCTATACGGTCATCTGTTTCTGATAATGACGACGCAAAAGCCCCGCCTCTCCCCACCTCTGCTGCTCACCCCCGCAAAAGTACACTGCACACTGAATTCAGATTATTTATCTTTATCTCGATATGGACATAAACGCGAGTGAAGTCTAATCTGACAGGACGGAGACACGCAGCTCCTGCCACTGTGATGCAGCGGGAGGAAGACACACACTTCAAGTCAGATCATCACCCTTAGCTATTTTAATTACCTCTCAAACTACCTAAACTAGTTATAAATATGTTTATTTTTACTGTCGAGTCATCATTACTGGATCAGCTGCTGCATGAGACAGACACTGACGCTCTCAGAAGAGAGGAAAAAGAGACAGGCTCCGTGTATTTTATTATTATATATCATTATATCGTCGTTATTCATTTGTTTTAAAGCTCAATAAATATCAAATAAGACCTTTGACCGGCACTTTTATAATTTTGTCCGGAAGATTTAAACTTTAGCACACGTTGACCGGCGAAAAACTCTGCCCGGATCCCTCGGCCCCCACCGCGGAGAATAAACAGAAGTGCAGCCATGACAACCATTCTTCTTCGCTGCTTTTGTGGAGGAAGTTGCTGCTTTTGTGGAGGAAGTTACAGCTCCACGTACAGGCTCGGCATATGTACTGCAGCTTTTCCAGCGGTTGGATGTAAACGGAGCCGTCTCGTGGAGCTTGACACAATCCGGTGTATATTGCGTGTGGGCGGAAGCTTTTTGGCGTTTGCGTTTGCGTTACTCCTATGCGTTTTGCCGTATGCGTTCCCGTGGAGCCGGGGCCTAAATCAACCTGAAAATGAGCATAATAGGGCCCCTTTAAGTTTCATAATCATTCAGGCAAAATAACTCAACGTGGATGAAGGTCATTTTACTAAAAAGAACAAACCCGACATCCTAGTAAAAAGTCAAGTTGAAACAGTTAAACCCATTCTCAGTTTCACATACTGTAGCTCACATTACAAAAAAAGTCTCCCTTGGAGTTTAAGCTGCCGCTACGGCTAATGCTAGTGTTCCTGAGCCAAACTGTGCACATAGTAATTGTTTTATTTTGTTTAAATAATACTTCTATACTCTAGTATACCTAAGAAAAGGTGTGTAACTTGTGTTTAAATCATAAAGCAACACATCATTTTCCCCTAACATGACACACATTAAAACTGTTAAAGTAAAAGCTTCTTATGTCTAAATAGAGAGGCTATGTCTTTGGAGGTTGACAGATTTATGTCCTAATGGTATATAAATATCGTCATATAGCCCAACACTGATGTCTATTCCTGTCTGGTACTAGATATTACCTCAAGTAAACGGGTGACAGGTTCTGGGAAAGACAAGTTGCCATTATCATTTTACATTTCTTGAAGCTCTACAATTGAAAATCCATTCACCTCCAATGTCTCAGTTGTCCGAGATAGGAAAGTGTTTGTGGATTCATTTTCATTTTGTGATTTGAGTGAACCTACCCTTAATACTGCGAGAAAAACATACTTGGAATTAACTTTTTATCTCTCTTCTTTAAATACAGCAAAAATAATTGTCTCACCTATGGTGTCGTACACATGCACTTCCGGTGTGTCCTCCTGCGGCTGCCAGTTGTCGGTGGGTGATGCAGAGGCAGCGTGTGGGGGGCTCTCAGGCTGCCTGGACGGTAAGTCAGCGGGGGGTACTGAGTGGAGTTCGTCATAAACTCTGTGCAGCCCATCGATATCATTATTAAGACTCTGACGGAAGAAATACAGTTAGCATCTATCACCACATGGTGTAACCATTTGTACATGTGCATATACATTTCTACTATTATAAATACATTTCTACTCTCACTTACTTAAATGAATGGTATTGTGTTTATTCTCTTTTTCAGAAATTGGCACTAATTAATGTTATGCCCTTAAAATCTAAATAACTTAAATAACATACATTTAAAAAAAAGAGGCCACTTGAAACCGAAAAAGTGTTCACGTACCTGGTTTTCTTTGTGGAGCCCTTCTTTCTCGTGTCTTAGCAGCAGGATCATATCTTCCTTGTCCTCTACAATGCCCTCTATATCTGCGATGGCTGCATGTGCATTTGCGAGCTGTAGCTGAAAAGAATGAAGGAAAACAAGCCTCAGTGTTAAACATGTCCTAGTATGAAGCAAAAAAATGTGCAAAATAGGGCCCCTTTAAGATTTCCTTGACCTGAACTTCTCTACCGACCGATAGCTTGAACTTGTAGCCACATAATATAGCTAAACCGTTTTTACAATTTTTTGAGTTTACCTCTATTTTGTCACTTTTCCGTTGTTGCTTCTCCAATGATTTGATAATCTTCTCCGACTGTTCCCTGACTTCCAGTAGATCTTTCTCCAGAAACTCAGATTGTCTCACACTTTTTTTGGCTTCCTCTCTCTCGGACACGAGCTGCAGCTGAACTTCCTGTAGCTGGCTGGCCAGAGTCTGACACTTCTCCTGGAGAGAAAACAGCAATAATCATTTAGCATAAATAAAGAGTCCTGGTGTTGTTTGTATTAAAATCATTAGTATTTTGTTCCCACCCTTAGATTGTCCTCGGGACAGTTCTGCAGAGTCTCCTGCTGCGACAGCCTCTTGTGCAACTCCTGGTTCTGCCTCTTCAGGTCGTCCATGTTGTGTGTGAGGCTTTGCCTCTTTTGCAGCTCCACAGAGAGCCTCTCCTTCTCTTTCTCACTGCTCTGAAGGTCAACCTGCCAAAGGTAAAGAACACACATTTCAATACAAGATTTAAATGTTGAACTGGATTAATTAATAGTAATCTATTAATCTGACCTTTTATTTTTTAGATTGATCTGATAACGTCAGTGCAACAAGTGTTAGAACGGTGTTTATAGTGGCAAAGGTATCTCATTTTTGAACAGATTTAACTTGTGATGTTACTTTATAGTTATGGGTGTACTATTCCCGGTATGATCTGCTCTTTAAGAGTAAGTCTGCAAATATTTGTATAGGGCTGCAACTAATTAAGAAAAGTGACTAAATTAATCTATCATCAAAATAGTTTTTGTGTGCATCTGTATAAAAAAACAGTTTTAGAAAAGTGAAAATATATAGAAGGATAGAAACCAATGCGCTCTGCTTTGAATGTCAAAGACAGAGTAGAAAAGTCAAATACACTAAAAGAAACAATCTAAAATAACACCATCAGGCGCTCTGCTACAAAGTAGATTTACCTGGAGAAGCTGGTCAGTGTCTTTCAACTTTAACAGTTCCCTTTGAGTTCCTCTGAGTTTAGATTCTAGCCTAAAACACACCAAAGAAAGCTGTTGCAGGCAAAGAAACAATTTTACTTTGATGATGAATAATAAAACGTGCAGACTCGACTCACGTGGAAATCTCCGCACTCTGATCATTGATCTTCCTGTTCAGCTCCTCGCGCTCCTCTTTCATTTGGTTGATCTTTATCACGGCTCGATTGTATTTCTGTAAGAAAACATATGATTTATAAAAGATTTTGTCAGAGCCTTTAACAGCAAAAAAGATACAATCATCTTACCTCATTTTGCTTTGATTCTCCATCCAAACTCAGGCTTTGACTACGTCCTTTCTGCACGGTGGCTTCATGTTGCTGCGTCTCCATCTGCTTTGTCATTTGGGTCAACATCTCCTGTTGACGGCACACCAAGGTTAGTCTTCACACCGAAGATGCAGAACTGATTTCACACGACTGAAATACAAACCTTTGCGTTGTCCGTTTCTTTCACCTGCTGCTGTAAGGTGCTCTGTAAGTTGTCATTTTCTCCCTTGATTTGATCCATTTGTTTGACCAGTTGACTCATTTCTTTCTCTTTCTGATCATTCTGCTCCTGTAGAAAGAAATCATACCATGTCAAACATCAAAGTTCAATATTTATGTAACTCTCCATGGCGCAATGAGTTCATTATCTCTCAGCAAACCTTTAAGCTGGCAGCTTCTTGCTGTTCCTTCTGTAGGTCATTTTTTAAGGTTTTGTTTTCTTTCCTTATCTGATCCAGCTCTTTCTGCAGATTAGATTTCTCCTGTACGCTCTTTTCCAAATGCTCCTGGGTTCGGAAAAACACATTGAATCAATATAAAGCTTTATTTAGATTCACCTTTCTTTCTGTTTTCATTACATATAAACAGTTGTGTCTGTTACACAAGTGCTCAAATCCTCAGCCAATCACACTTCTGCAAAAAGTACTAATTGATTATTAAATATTTCTACAGTGGTCATGTATTGATTTAAGATACACCCGCTGGTGTTGGCTCCACATCTATCATTTGCGTTTGATACCTGTGTTGTAATAACCAGGAGGTCATCATCCATGCCCTCCATGCTTTGCTCCTCTGGACTTCTGAAACAGAAAGGAGTGCTGGCTCCTCGCACTTTAGCAGTACTGTCCACGTAGCAGAACTGGTAGAACTCGACCTCATCTTTAGGCAGGTAGTACTCTGATGGGACAGGAACAGAGTGAGCAAAAGCTTGTTACAATGTTTTCAGGGCTGTAACTAAAGTTTGTTTTCTTTGTTGATTCATTAATCAGTTGTTCAGCCTGTAGAAAGTCAGAAAATAGTGAAAAAGGCCAGTTAAAACTTCTAAAACTCCTAGTGTGTCCTGGGTTGTGCTTGTTTACAGGCTAAAATACAAATTATGACATTTAAGAAAATGTAAGTAGGGAATGTGTAGACTTGTGAGAGGACTTTTTATTTTTTAAATCTGAAATGTCATAATTCTAATCACTGTAAATAATCAGTAAAATCTTAATAAAAGTTACACAACATGTCAATTAGGTTGTCACTTCATTTACAAGCAGAAACACTCTCTCACTCTTGTGTTGTTGTTTTGTTAATTGCGGGAGAATGTATACTTTGGAAAAAATTGAAACTATCTGAGAAAGAAGTTGAGGTCCACACTGAGGCAGTAAACTGTGATGACAAGTCACAAGTATACATTAGTTCCTCAAAAAAACGTTTGTCAGCCACTGGTCTAAAAGACAGTAGAGGTGTTTAGTTAACTGATCAATATGTCTAAAAACAGCAAATAAATGCTGCAGGAAACCTCCAAAATATGGAGATGTCCTGCTTTCCTCTGTTAAATATATCATATTAAATATATTTGGGTTATAGACTGAACAAACAAAACATTTCACCTTGAGATGCTGGGATATACATTTTCACTATTTATTGACATTTTATAGACCATACGATAAATTAATATAGAAAAGAATCCGCAGATATGTCAATACTGAAAAAAACCCTGTTAGGAGCAACCTTTAAAGACACTGAAACTAAATATCTTGAAGCTCTGAGAAATTAGAAAGTGGAGAGAAAATAAAATCTGACCCTAGTTTTAATAGAAGACTGAATAAGAGATTATGTCAACAACACTGAGCCAAAGGATCAGATGTGTGTCATCATAGCAGCGCATAAAACAGATTTAAGAGCCACTAATTACTCATGACCTGTTTACACTTTACACTCACAGTGTTCCGAGACATCTGAAGGCCACGTAACAAACATGACTAAGCATTATCACCCTGTGGAAAAAGTGAAACTATTCCTTACCTTTAAAATAAGCTTGCCTGTTGGCAGACTCTTGCCCTACCACATCCAGAGATGGCTCCACCCATACAAAGGTATGATAATCCCTTGTTGAGCTCCACCCCACCTGAAGAGGAGACAAAACAAGAAATGCACCACGCAGATATATAAAAACAAATCACAAGAGCACAGGTACTTTTCATCTGGTTGAATGTTGCCCTTTGAATTTAGATGTATCATGTTTGATCAGGGTGGGCCAAATAATAATGATAATTTTTTAGAAACATTTGTACTTTTTTCATTACCTGTTTTCATCAGAATACATTTTCTGGAAATCAACTAAACTAGGCCTAAACATATTTTCCCAATGTGTTCCTGTGACTGATTTGAAATGTCCATACCAACATGAAATCAAATAATGAAGGAACTACAATGATTATGTATTGCTAAAGCAACTTTTACATTTGTTTCCTCACCTTAAAAATGCCCACCCAGTCCCTGGTGTTCGGCTGGAAGGCAGCAGTGAGGGTGTAGCAGCAGGTGATGCCGGGGATTGAAGGCGGGTATGAGTACGGGGTGTCAGTGAACACCACCTGGGAGAAGGTGTGGGGATTACGGTCCTCGGCCTCTGCGGGGTTCTCCATGGGGAGCTGCAGCCAATAAACAAGATAACCACATGACAGCAGGGGAAATGTCAGATATCAGCACCCGTGTTTTCTCAGGCTCACTTCTTCCTGTTGTTGTTGAAGCGCACAGCCCCCAACCTTAAGTTTCATTTTTCTCCAAATCCATTACGCATTCAAAATGAACTCAGAAACACAGCGTTAAAGAGGCTTAAACGTTTATTAAAACGATTTCGCCTCTCACTAAGGCTCATATTTAATCTGTTTAACAAACTTTTAGAGAGTAATTAACGTTTTTTAAACATAAAAATAAAGAAAGCGAAAGTGAGCTGCGGCAACAAAGACCGCACCCGAAACATTATAAGATGTTAACTTTAATAAACAAAATAGTTTACTTCTTCAAGACTACTTAATAAACATACATTTTCTGACTAAATGTTGAAACAAAGACACGAAACTTACATTTGCAGGCACTTGTCACAACACCGACATCAACCGTCTTTTCAGGAGGTCGGATTCAGGCGCTGTGATGAGTTCAAGTTCTGTTCGGATATTTGTAGTACCAACTTCGTAAACACCGACAAAACGTGCACATAAAATGTCCCAGTAAAAAAAGTTACCCATAATTTCACTTTTTCATGTGATTTTACAGAATATATTAAGATTCTTAAACCGATAAACACCATAAAGTAATACAACTCCGAAACATGTGATTAATACTTAAAAAGGTAGGCTAATTAATAATTGTCACCTAATTCATATTAGGCTATATATCTTGCGATATAATATATATATATATATATATATTTGCACTCTATTTTTGCAATCAACTCGTTTCCATTTTTACACTTTATTATATCTCTTTTCTTTGACCGACATCCCCACTTAGTTTCCATTTTCTACATTATGTATGGATAATAGACTGCTATCAGTTTTATGTGTTGTAGCCTACGTGTTACTAATTTACTACACATTTAAAATAGATTTACATACCCAGGCTAAACGCCCAAGTACACATAAAATACATAGCTGCCTTGTTTCAGATTGTTCCAAAGGCATCAGTAGTTGCGTGAGAAAAGTCCCGTATGCTGAATTATGGGAATTGTAGGCCAATATAAACAACTCACTCACTCCTATCTTCTGCAGTGTGACATAAAAACACAAGAGGGAGCCAAACACTGAATACGTGTGATGATCTTTGTAATTATGTTACTACAATAAACCCTTAGACATTGCTCAGTTCAAAACTCAGTGTGTGATTTATATATTCCTTCTTTTCATTTCTGCATGACAGGCTCCTAACATAAAGGTCCAGCATACTTTGGGAGATGAGACTAAAGAGAGCTCTGTGATTTAGTGTGTGTATGCATTTTTTATTAAGATGTATTTATTTGATCAATAACGACGCTTCTTGATAATAATATTAAAAAAAACACGTTTCACTGCAACTTTTATTTATAATTTTCACCACCATTTTTATGCTACTTTACTTTAGTAACTATTTTACACATCAATACCATGAGTACATCAATAACATAACAATATCATTTTCAAGTATAAGAAATATAATGTTGCCATGCTAACTTTCATTAACCATAATGTCAAAGGACGTAGGAAGAATACACTTCAAAATAAAAAACAATTGTTACACAAATAATATTTAAAACAAATGCACTATTATTAACCAATACATAAATAAATAAAACTGATAACAGTACCACCTGATACATGTTTTTGCCTACACTTATTAGGAAATAAATATTGAAAATAAATGAATCTATAGATATAGTTTAGGATGGAAAGGTATGAATTACAACAGATCACCTGTTGTGTGATGGAACTTTTTTTTCTAATAATCTAAATTTTAATTTCAGAGAGACAAGTATAGATTTTCTATGAGAATTACGTGGTTTTAGCAGAAAACCTTATCTTGAAACAAACTGCAAGGTACACCTGTGGATGTTTTATTATGTATCTTTTCTGGTCGATGAGCCAACAACCAATCAGACACGAGAACTCTCACACCCCCGGCTTGTGATAGGCTAAGGGCGTAACGGAGGACGTTCCACTCAAAAAAGGCACCACGGCGCGTGTTGGCCTCGAGTTCATTCATGTTTACATTTGTAGGTTTCGTCCCCACTGTGTGTCAAGCCGAGAAGACTACAACACGACCCTCCTGACATCAGCCACGTTACTCAAGGATGCTCGGTTAGTTTGTTGGCCGGTAACGAGAATACTCACCTATGTAGAGCGGTAATGTCACGTTTATGACGTTTGTACTTGTCTAAAAGTTAATTGTTTAACGTCTCCTGCTAGCTGGCAGTTAGCCTGAAGCATTCCGTTACCATAGCAACTATACAGTACAAATGATTAGCATATAGCTAGCTACAACTCATGTTGCTAGCTCACGATGTTTAATCTTGATTTCTTTAAATGATGACTACCTGAAACTTTCAAACACTCGTGTTAAACATTAAAAATACAATTCAGAGATGTTGCTCACAAATAGAAAACGTATTAAACTAAACTGCCGTCACGTTAGGCCTAATTTAGGTGAAATAAATGCTACCTAGAAGTCTCTCACGAGCAGGGGTGGAAAAGGTATTTACATCAATAGCCTACTAATACTACGCTGTACATACTCTGTTAAAAGTAAAACTTTTACATTACTCTAACTGTTACATTACAACTAATACATTATTTGGTTGTTTTATGTTTGCAAAGAAGGAATGTGTAAAGTAACTATAGCTGTCAAATAATTGAAGTAAGATAAAAAGAACATTACCTCTTAAATGTAGTGTATTAAGTACAAAGGGGCATGAATAAAAAAAGACTCAAGTAAAGTACAAGTAGCTTTAATGTTTAGCTTAAGTACAGTATTTACATAAATGTACTTTGTTACATTGACTGAGGAAGATCATGATCTATTTATTTGGAGCCTCACAGCATAGCCCTCCTTTGTGCTCTGCAAAAAATGACATTGTCACCTCTTTGCATATTCAATTCACTAAGTTGTACTTTATTTACTGACAACATTTAAAAAAAAAAAAACGTTATTTAATGACACACCTGAGACATTATTTAATAATATTTAAAAGACAGGATCACATTAATTTCTCCTACTTGCATTTTATATCTCTCCATAAAAATACTTTGTCAGATTAAATTATTATTGCCAATGTGACTCTCACTTAGTCATGCAGTTTAAACGCCTTTTTAAATACAGTAAAGTATTCAGACAATCCAGCAACAGACTTTAGTGGTGGAAGCTTAGCAGGCAAGCATAATAAAGACAAAAGAAAGATAAGAGAGTGTTAAAGGGTGTAGGATATCAACTAATTATTAATACATTTTGATTTATTGATAATCAAGAAAGGATATCAGCTAGGGTTGCATCCACGCCAAGATTTTGTGCTTTTCGTATTATTGTCCCTCAATATTTTCATCCAGTCTTGTTTATTTCAGATTGACACCTGGGAGATATAAGACACATTGTATTGTTTGTCTACAACTTTAACCAGCATTTCCCCTTCTGCCTGTACTTCATTTTTAATGTCTTCAATGGAAGACTAGGCTTCAACTGAAGGTTCTCCATTTCAACTTGGCTCCAAGATGGATGTCCAACCTGTTCACTTACACCACACACTGTCACTCTGCTTTTCAGCACAGATTTAAATTCAACAACTCGAGCTGTTGAAAAAGACATCTCCTATTTCAGTGAACAAATATCAGGGATTATCTCTCTCCTCTCCCAGTGAGGGCTCATTGCCGCTCATTTTGCTCTCCCATCATGTCATGGGGGATCAGGTGTTTGTCTCCACAGTTTCTAATTGGTCACCAGATCCACCACTGGGCTCATTGCTTGAGTGTGTAAGTCAATCTGAACTGAGGATACAAATCTATTCTCTTTTTTCAAAGATTCCAGTGGCAGACAGTGCACGAGGTGGAGATGTGGATCATTGGTTTTTCTACTGAGTAGTGTGACAGCGTCTTAAAGAGCTCTTGAAACAGGATTTGTGTACCAAAGACGAAAGCAGACGGATAAGGGAGGCAGCATCTTCCATCACCTTTGTCCTCACAGATGTAGGCTCAACACTGCAGGTGAGTAAGAGCCATTTCTTGAAGTGAAGACGGTAAACAAGGTTACTCATTTACAAATTAAAAAAGTTACAATAATCTTAAATGCATACAGTCTGCAGATGTGTTTCTAATATTCAGTCTATGTAGTAGTGCAGTCTTAAAAATGACGACAAAGTTAATTTAACATGTTGTTTAACCAGACATGCATTCATTTTAAGTGGCAGTTTAAGGCTTTAGTTGTTTCAAATAAACTGGCAAGTTGATTACTAGAACTAAAAGATGATTAGTGCTGATTTTAAAGAAATTGTTAGTTATTTAACCAAAAATAGGAGAGCATTTGTGTGTTATTGCCTTTTAGTATGTGACAAATTGTGTTGCTTTTCTGTTTCATATCATCGCAAATCAAGCACATTTGTGCTTTTTGGCAGTTGTCAGATGAAATGAGCAATTTGAAGACAAAACGTGGGCTTTGGTTACACTCCTGTATTCCAGTTAAACTCAGCTTTACTTATTTATATTGTACCTTTTGTACAAACATGCAGCCCAAAGTGCTTCACATTTTTGCAACACTAAAGAACCTACAACATTAAAACAATATAATGCTCAAAATCAATGAATACAACTCAAAATGAAAACTAATTTAAAATATGCGGCACATTTATTTATATTGTTTTAATTATTTAACTTGAAAATAAATATAACTATTACTAATATCGCAGCATCATTGTGAATGTTGACAAGTGAGAGGCAGTCTGCTGAACCAGGTTGAAAAGCTAATAAGACAAGAAATTATCTTTTCCTTCATGACATTAAAATAATTAAGCAGCAGTGAAACCTCAGCTCCGTAGAAACAAGAGATACATTTCAAAAATTGCAAGGGTATCCCCTTTAAAGACGTTTCAGTGTTTAGTGCTTTAGTACTTATTTAGTTAATTATTAAAGGAAATACGGTGATGGTATGTCTTGTCATGGTGTAGCCTAAATGCAGGATCTTATGCAATGATACTTAGCAGATTACAAAGTAATTCTCACTGGGTCCAGTCGTTGTTGGTTGAGGACAGATAATTAGGTGTTATTACCTGATGTTGTTGATGTTGTTGTTGTTGCACGCTGAGGGAAAACCTTGGAGAAGCCCTTTGCGGGACTGTAACTGTATCCGGGCTGAGGTCAGCGGTGCGTCTCGGCCCGATGTAAAGCTCACAGTTCAGGGCCAGGATTATCCAGATCATTGGATCAGAATACTGTCACCGAGCACCGTAACCACCCACAGGGTGCCTGGGATGTCCCTCCATACTGCCACCACGTTCTCCATCATTACCACGAATTAACTTGCCCCCACTTTCAACCCTACAAGACACCAGATAGGAGGCTGAGGAGAGCAGCTGAGATGCTGCTGTGACGATTGTCATCCATTGTGCTCAGGTTAGAGTGCAGACGGACATAGAAAGACTATATCAATTGAACTACACCCGCCTGGGTTTA